CATGACCTCCTGATTCATAGGTGGACACTCAACCACTGAGCCATGCTAGTGGGGTTATTGTAATAACTTTGTATGGTGGTGACAGAAGGTTACTAGATAACGTGATGATGACTTTGTATGCTATATAAACATCAAATTACTATGTTGTATACCTGAAACTAATATAATATTGTATGTCAACTATAATAACTATTTAAATTAACATGGTGGAGGATGGAAGTCCTGGGGAAGCCGCCTGGTCCTGAGGCCCACTGATATATTCCAATCTTCACTAGCTGCGAAACCTTGAAGAAGTTACCCAATTGAACTGTGACCTCCTGGTTCATAGGTTAACGCTCAACCACTGAGCCACGCTGGCCGGACTGGGTTTGTTTTTCTAGTCCAGCATTGGGTTTATTTCTTCCTCGTATTACCTATTCTAATATGCTATTGGACTTTGTTTTAATTATTATAGTTTGATTATATATTTTTACATTAGGTAAGTAGAGTTCCTTTCGTGAATTAGAAAAAAAAATGGTTTTGGCTGTCCTTGTCTAGTTTTTCTTCTATTTGAATTTTGGAATCAGTTTGTCAAGGTCCAAAAAATACTACGTTGGGATTTTGATTAGGACACATTGAATTTATAGATTTATGTATGACAAATGTCATCTGTTTTAGTACCTGCCAAATCAGGGGTGACTCCACTGGATTAGCTCTTTTAATTATACTGAGATGTAAGTTCCAGGACAGCAAGAGGGCCTGTCAGAGTGTTTACTGTCCCTTCACCCACAGCCAGAACAATGCTCACAACACCTGTCCACAAAACCTGTCCAAAGAGCCCAGCCTCTGAGCAGTTTGCACCCTTGAACTGGTGTAGCTCACTTGGCCAAAGGTGGAGGCAGAGACATTTGCCTAACTCACAGCTGGGAGACAGGCCCCCTTTGATGCCTCAGGGGACAAGCTTGGGCTCCTCTGGACATCACATTCTCACAACTTCTGCAGCATTGCAGTGGGACACAGACTGACCTGCTTTCACTTCATTGAGGACACAGAGGGGCAGGGCCAAGCCCCACAATCTCCAAAGAGGTTCTGAGCAAAATTCTGAGTTTTCAAAAACTTCTGTTTTGGGGTTTTATTGTCTGAATAATTTGGGGGCTATTTTAAGAAAAAGCTAGTTCATTGTTCTAGTAGGGGAAGTCAACTGAAAGCTTAATGATAACAATGGGCTTTTTAGAATTAAAATTACTTCCAGATGGATGTTCACACACGTCTTTACCCTTTAAAAACTACTTAAGTATGTTACCATCTGTCTTAGAGGGACTTTGAGTGGAAATCTTTACTCTTTTGTTTATATAGCTGTCGCCAAGTTTGTAACATAAGCTACCAAAGATTTTAAGACTATAATAGTAATGTCTTTCTGTTCTCTTCTGCTGTTACTGAATGAACATATTGCAAAATAGCAAAAGGGAGTGAATGGCTAGGCTTTTTCAGGGAAATGACAGTTTGACTTTAGACATGAATTTTTCCATGTTGCAAACATTTTGCCCTGTTTTTCCCCCCTATAATTTGTAACCCAATTTTTACAAGTGCCTTTTAGTTTGACTTTAGACATGAATTTTTCCATGTTACAAACATTTTTGCCCTGTTTTCCCCGCCCCTATAATTTGTAACCCAATTTTTACAAGTGCCTTTGGGAAATATTAGAAGGAAAGAGTCTGACCTGAAGGAAATTAATAAATTATGCATGTTTTGACTTGTTCTTTCTTAATACCAATCAACACTCAGGAGCATTTTGCAACTATGCTGGAAATCTTTATCAGGGGATTTCCTTAGGCCAGAAGACCATGGGAATTTCTCAGGATTATGGCAGATATGTGAATTCCCAAGGACAACTTAGCCCAGGGGCACCTCGGAAAGTACTAAAATCTTGTCTGTGGTGCTGCTTTAGTGAATCTCCAGTCGATAAAAATGTGTCAGGCAGTCATTAGCGGTTTGCATGAGGCGCCCTGCCAGCTTTTTACTGTTTCACAGCTAGGAATAGGCTCTCTAGCAAGAATTTCTGAGCAATCATTATAAATTATAGGGGGGGAAAAAACCAGGCCAAAATATTTGCAACATGGAAAAATTCATCCCTAAAATCGAACTACCATTTCCCTGAATAAGCCTACCCATTCACTCCCTTTTTCTATTTTGGGAAGCAGCATTACTATCCATCCAGCTATCTAAGAAAGCCTGAAGTTACCCCCACTTCCTCCCACTGCCACCTCATGGCAAACCATGTGAAGACTATCTGCCTGGATGTCTTTCATGCCTATCCCCTGTCCTTTCTCCAGGGCCTTGAGTCATGGAGGAAGTCTCTGTATCATCGCTCTGCCTCAGATTCCTAGAAAAAGGTTAACATTTTGGAAGGAACTCTGAGAGAGTTTTGAAACCTACATAAATCTAGAGCCTAGAGGGTATCATGTATTATGTATGCTTCACGGTGACCCTAAGAGTGTGAACTGAAATTTTGAGTTAATTTAAATGCTCTACAAATCCACACTTTCATAAAAGTGCCTGAAGTAAGGTTGGAAGCAATAGAGCATTAAAAATTAAATCAGTTTCCTCTTTGATTCTGAAGTGACCCAGGGAACTTATCCACCCAAGGGAGGAAAGGATAAAGCCCCTGCTGTGCTCCCCTAATCACCACCACATTTCTAGGTAAACTCTGAATACGCTTCAATACTAGGACAAGGGTCTGGGAACATCTGATATCCTTAGATGCATTTAGGCAGTTTCCTCAACCTAGAACAATTCTCCAAATTAACAATGCAGAGGCGAAATGCAATATTACCACTACCACCACCACCACCATCGCTGCTCTTCAGGTCAGCTAGAGGGAGGCAGGAGGCCCTGATGGTGCAAGGGGAGGGGTATGTCAGGAGGCATTCCAGCCATAAAGAGGGATGGGGCTCCAAGGGCTGGCCTGGAGTGGATACTGTCAACATCTTTTGGCAAGCAGAGGCTCCGGTATAAGAACACCTGTGACCTTTGCAGCATGTGCTCAAACATACCTTGTACCTAGCAACCACGTTGGAAATGAGTGACCTATCCAATGTTCACAACAGCCTTTACAGAATAATGTTCTCAGCAAAAGTAAAAGTGAGCTGGTCATGCAGACATGGTGTCCCTCTAATGGGACAGAGTAGGAAGTGCCAGTGCCACCCATGAGGTGGTCTGGTCAAGTCACTGAACCTAAGTCCATTCGAGCTATTGAATCTAACAGCTTGTTTGCAGGAACTTAGGGAATAGAGGAACACGTTAGCCTCCAGAGGAAGAAGCAAATGAATTCAGCATGTAGGACAATCCCCAGGGCAAGGCATCTTGTTTCTTTTCACAAGTTAGTGCATGAAAAAGAAGATGCAAAGTGGGAGAAGCAGTGATATAAAGAGACTACAAAGAAAGAATGTGATATGGCTCATGTGATGGAGTAAATTGTGTCCCACCCAATTCATATGTTGAAGTGCTAAGCCCCAAACTTTGGAATGTGACCATAGTTGGATAGGATCTTTCAACAGGTGATTAAGTTAAAATAAGGTCATAAGGGTGGGGTCATAATCCGATCTGATTGGAAATTTGGATTCACAAAGACACCAGGGATATACATGCACAGAAGGAAGGCCATGTGAGGACACAGTGAGAAGACAGCTATTAATAAGCTAAGGAGAGAGGCCTCAAAAGAAAGCAAACCTACTGACACCTTGATCTTGAACTTCTAGCTTCCAGACTGTGAGAGAATAAAATTTATGTTGTTTAAGCCACTCAGTCTGTGGTATTTTGTTATAGCAAACCTAGGAAACTAATATAGTTAAATATTAGATGATGCTGGAATATTGTAAATTTGGTTGGACATCACAAAGGTATTGCAGTTATTATAGGGATATTATATTATAGGGATATTATATACTTTAATTTTTAAATTGATTTTTAGAGAGAGAGGAAGGAGAGGGAGAGAGAGAGAAACATTGATGTGAGAGCCAAATATTGATGGGCTGCCTCCTGCATGCTCCCTCCTGGGGATTGAGCCCACAACC